AGGTAGGGGGGGGGGGAAGTTGCGATCTGGAAATTGCTGTCGTGGGGGGATGGCATTTTCTGTTGGGCCTTGTACAGCGATTGGCCTTGTTAGCTAACAGGGTGGTCGGCCTGTTTAGCTGGCGGGGTGGCGGGTGATCGACAGGTAAGGTAAGTTTTCTATCGGGCACACTGTTGCCAAATATCGCTGTCCATAAACTATATGTCCAATACTTGCACTCACGGGCATTTTTGCTACTATTAATAAATTGGTAAAAATCAGAGAATGCGAGGCCTGGCCAAATGGGCCGGCCCGGCCTGGGTTAAACGGGCCCGAACCCCTCTTGCCCTCTCTCCTATAAAAGCTGTGCTTTTACCCCCGCACTCCATCGCCTCGCCGCCGTTCCCCGCAACACCCTGTCGACCCAATCTCACATCCTCCTCTCGCCCGCCCGAGGTGAGCACTTGTAGTTCCTCTGGATTGGTTGGTAGGCGCTGGTTCGTAGGTCTCGGATCCAGCCAGCGTGGTCTCCCTCCGCGTGCATCCGGAGTTTCTCGTTCCGATTGTGGTTGGTAGGCGCGGCGCGGCGCGGGTTCATAGGTGTCGGATCCAGCGCCGTCTGTATCCTATTCGTATGTGGAACCTCGGCTAGGATAGGATTTAATTAGTTAGGTTTTGTATTAGGGTAACACCACCTAGGGTTCGATTGATTATCCGTAACAAGGAATCAATCTGACGTTTTAGTTAGGGTTTGCTTGGTTGGTTGTGGTCAGATTTTGGTTTCTCATGAATTCTTCAACTGTGCCTGTCGCGATTTTGGGCGGAAATTGATGATTGATTTCGGGGGCAAAATCCGAGGTAATTTGTGGATGAAAGATGGGGAAACTTGGGGAAACCAAGCAAATCCATGGATCAAAATCAACAAAACTTCATCATGCCAACAAATCACAAAAAAAATTTGGTGGGGAAATTTCGAATTAGGACGAAAAACAACAAGATCAAAGCTAGAAAACGAATATTAATTTGGATGGAATTCATGCTATGTTGTTCGATTTCAGTTTATGCCTGCCAGAATGTTTAATTTTTTGTTTTATCAACTGTGTTTGAGCGTACTAGATTTTTTGTTGCATATTCATCTTCTTGCTCTGTTTGGATAGGTAACAATTAATATTTGGGATCCTAAAATATTTATGCACTGGCAGCACTTAACCTGCAGCTGCTGATTAATGTTGTATTCATATGTGCTGCTTTCCAGCTCTCTTGTTTCGATAGGTATTTGGTTATCGTTTGGGTCTATTTATTATCGTTTGTAAATGCTGGTTTGGTTTTCTGTGCTCACTATCCCCTTGCACATGGGATGCAATTTTTTTATTTCCCTGCTGTTTAGTTTATTGTTTCCTTTGATGGTAAAGAGGCATTAATTCTGGAGATAGATGCAATTTTCTTGCTCACAATAATACAATGAATGATGGCATCTCTATCTACTTTAACCAAATTATATCATATTCCCCCCTCTGTTAATTATTTTTCTGTTTTGGGTATTCATTCATTTTGTTTAGTTGCCTATCAGTATAAATACATGGCTGCATTGCTTTCACTTCATATTAATAACTATTCTGTCGCACAATGCAAATATACATATGCTGTCCTAACTAATTAAGTAGAAGCTTGGATTGGTGCTGTATGGTCTCTTCCTGACATTAAATCCTCCTCTGTTTGTGCTGTCTGTTTCTGCTGCTGCAGTCTTCTTCGCCGCCAAAAGGAAATGATGCTCTACAAAATCCGCTCCCATGCCCAAATCCAAGACCTGCAGGCCCGCTCCGATGAGCTGGGCCTCTCCAATAAGTCCATGCTTGTGAGTCTTGTCTCTCTGGAGTCGGTGCGCATAGCGTGGGAGTCGTATGCGCTCCTCCGCCCGCTGATCAAGGAGTCGTGGATTTGGGTATGCCCGCAGCTGGAAATCCTCTCGGACGTGGCAGGCTTGTCGCTGGAAATCCAAAAGCTCGAGCATGATGTGTTACCCCAGCTCAAGCTTCAGGAGGCTAAGCTGGAAAGGGGCGCCCTGGAAGCCCTCCTACTCATGAAGAACTCAGCTGTTGCGCTCTTACATTTGAGGAAGTGCTTTAAGGAAGACTTGGGCGTATTGCTTGCCAAGGAGGATCTGGTCTCAGCCAAAGTCAAAAGGCTGAGCAAAATGCTAAAGTATATTGCTGTCCGGTTGCTTCAGGAGCGTGAATGCAACATTGTCGGGCTTCAGGAGCGTGTCCGGTTGCTGGTCCAGCTGGTCACCGAGGTGTTGAACACCCCGGTTCATTTCGATGATTCTGATGAGTCTTCTGATGAGTCTTCTGATGAGTAGACTTATCAGCCAGCTCGAGACTGTTGTGATGAGTGTTTCTTAGGGGCGTGGCAAACAGTTTAGAATCGAATGTTGCGATGTATTTCTTGTAACCTCCTTTATGTTTGGATGTGTTATTAATGGATTTTAAATTTTATGTATTTTGGGTAGTGTTTTCTCATTCTGTGCTAGTAGGTACAGTCACATGGAGGTATTCGCTCTTTTTGGGGAATATATGCCAAAAGAATATACTCCCTCCGTTCTTAAATATTTGTCTTTCTAGAGATTTTAATAAATGACTACATACAGAGCAAAATGAGTGAATCTACACTTTAAAATATGTCTACATACATCCGTATGTTGAGTACATTTGAAATGCCTAGAAAGACAATTATTTCGGTGTTGAGTACATTTGAGATGCCTAGAAAGACAATTATTTCGGAACGGAGGGAGTAGTATCTTAGAAAAGGCATACTTTAGAAAGGCATACTTTAGAACATGGATGGATTCACTCATTTTGCTCTGTATGTAGTTTGGATGAATATAGACATACTTTAGAACGTGGATTCTAAAGTATGTAGTTTCCTAGTGAAATCTCTTAAAAGACTTGGGCCCTGTTTGTTTAAGAAGTCCTAGGACTTTTTTTAGTCTAAGTAAAAAGTCTCTAGTCCCTATCTATTTGTTTTAAGGAACTAAACATAAACTAGAGGATAATAAATGACATGTTAAAAGACCATGTTGCCCCTAAACATGGACTAGAGGGTAATAAACTAGCAGTTGCGGGAGCAGACCAGGGAAAAGTCTTAAAAAGACTCTCATATAGGGTCTTTCTCTTTTTAGTCTCAAATGCCTAGTTTAGCCCCTAAAAGTCCCTCCCGTTTGATTAAAAAGTGACTTTTTCTAGTCCCTACACAAAGTCCCTGGGAAAAAACACCCACTTATATTTAGAAACCGAGGGAGTCCCTACACAAAGTCCCTGGAAACAAACACCCACTTATATTTAGGAACCGAGGGAGTAGTGCTTATCTGTGAGTGTCCATGATTAAAGCTTTGCAAATACCATAAACAAAACTTCACCCTGTACTTAGCTGAATTGAATTGAAATGTGATTAGCCTTCCACTAGCCAGCCAAGGAGGAAGGAGCCCACCGTTCCAACCTCCCTATCTCTATTTCCTCTTGTTGCGCTCATCTTCCCCTTCTCCTGACACGTAAATCTAGTTGAGGACTGCGGCAGATCTAGTTGCGTTGGTCACCGCGCAACAACCCTAGCCACGACGAGCTCCACCACCGTGCGGTCCGGGAGCCGCGCCGCAGTCCTCAACTAAACTAGGCTGCTCCACCTTGCCGTCACCAGCCCCTTCTCCGCCCACCTCCCCCTTCTCTTGACACGTAGATCTAGTTGCGTCAGTCGCCGCGCAACAACCCTAGCCACGATGAGCTCCACCACCGTGCGG